CCCCCCCCTTCCATTGTCCAAAAGACCCCCAGTGTCACCTTTACACTTGAAATAAGCTATTGAAGTGCAGATCGCAGGCGTCAGGAGCCCGGCACTGACAGCCCAGGGACTGGAAGTGATGCAATCTGCATCGCTCCCGGTCCCATAGAACGGGGAGGGGGATCGGTGAACGGAGGTTGGTCCATCTCATCATCTCCTCCCCAGCTCCCCGCTGACACCAAAGAAGCCGGTCCCGGGCCCGTAGGAAGGGCAACAGAGCCCGGGAAGCACGGCGGGGGTGGCGGGCCCCCTCTCCGGGCTGTAGAAGCGATCTGGCGACAGCTGAGTCGCCAGAATCGCTTCTACTGTAAAGCCGGCAGTCCGCTTTACAAGTTTAAACAGAGTCCCCGCGGCTTTCCGTTTACACGGCCCCGATGCCGGCGACGTACACTGCGCGTCGTCAGTCACGAGGGGTTAATAAAGTATTGAGCAAAGTTTGTAGACAAGTCTGCAGAATGATGTCATCGTTGTTCTGTTTTATTATCTGATAATGACGAGTCTGAATTCTTTATATATCTAAGAAGAAAACAGGAAGCTGCACTCAGATATGGGAGGAATGTGTCAGCTAGATAAATCTATCTCCACAGCTCCAGGTAAGTGATCGCAGCCCAGGGTGCCGGGTGACTGGTCTTGTCTCCGCCCCCTCCTGTAATAAAGACCGGGCACTACTGCTCTCTTTCCTTGTGCAGGGTGACTGGTCTTGTCTCCGCCCCCCTCCTGTAATAAAGACCGCTCACTGCTCCTACCTCTCCTTGTGCAGGGTGACTGGTCTTTTCTCCACCCCCTCCTGTAATAAAGACGGCTCTCTGCTGCTCTATCTCCTTGTGCAGAGTGACTGGTCTGGTCTCCGACCCCTCCTGTAATAAAGAGCGCTCACTGCTCTCTCTTCTTGTGCAGGGCGACTGGTCTTGTCTCCGCCCCCTCCTGTAATAAAGACCGCTCTCTGCTGATCTCTCTCTCCTTGTGCAGGGTGACTGGTCTTGTCTCCGCCCCCTCCTGTAATAAAGACCGCTCACTGCTCTCTCTTCTTGTGCAGGGTGACTGGTCTTGTCTCCGCCCGCTCCTGTAATAAAGACCGGTCACTTCTGCTCTCTCTTCTTGTTCAGGATGACTGGTCTTGTCTCCACCCCCCTCTTGTAATAAAGACCACTCACTGCTGATCTCTCTCTCCTTGTGCCGGGTGACTGGTCTTGTCTCCGCCCCCCTCCTGTAATAAAGGCCGCTCACTGCTCTCTCTTCTTGTGCAGGGTGACTCGTCTTGTCTCCGCCCTCTCCTGTAGATTCCTGTAGTGGGTGGAGCCTTTTGGGTCCCTCCCACAGCTCTGCTCTCTGCATAGGCTATGTACAGCACAGCGATGACGTCACTGCTACTTTTACAAGGTCACTTCTGGGTTTGCAGAGGCATTTGGTGCGCAGAAAGTAGATTTGTATCCTTTGTGCCTGTTGAGGAATATATTTTAATAGACATTTTTGTTTTAAACCGTTTTGCTTATTTCCATGAATCCGAAGCTGTTCTGGACGAGCACCAGATTCAGTCCTCCAGCCAGGAGGAGGTTTTGTTTTCTTACCTGTTTTAGGACATCCAGCACGAGCTCGCTGAAGACCTCATTGATGGCCATTGACACGGTGGTGGAGTCGGTGCCTTTACTGAACTGGCCGCTGCCAATCAGATCGATGAGCTCCCAGGCGGACAGACCGCTCGGCTTGTTGTGGAGGCCGATTTTATAATCTTCAAACAGAGCTTGTTGCCAGCCGCTGCCCATCGCCTCCGCCAGCTTCTTCAGGAAATACTCAATCTGAAAAGCAACGTCCAATCGTTAAAGCGGACCTGTCACCATGATAAAATGTACAATGCTGAGTAATATGTCAGTGGAACACTTCCGGGTATGGTGGGAACACTTCCACCAATGTCTGACACAGATCAGCCCCTGCTCCAGCCCCTCACCTTGTGACTGGCTATAAACTTACAGTGTTGCAGTCTGATCCCTGGGGGGGGGACTGAGGAAATGCTTCCTCCTGCCTGCAGCGGTCTGATCACTGGGGGAGGGGAGACTGAGGAAATGCTTCCTCCTGCCTGCAGCGGTCTGATCACTGGGGGAGGGGAGACTGAGGAAATGCTTCCTCCTGCCTGCAGCGGTCTGATCACTGGGGGAGGGGAGACTGAGGAAATGCTTCCTCCTGCCTGCAGCGGCCTGACAACTGGGAGAC